TGCGCCTCCCGGTCTCGATATTCGCCAAGCATCCCAAACAATATATGATTACTGTGTTCTTCGACCAGGCGGGATGCGAAACCTGTATTTCTTCAATGGCCCGACAATGGGAGTTTCGAGACGTGAGAGGTAAAAAACCTACGAAAACGATATATATACTTCCTTGCCGTCGTTGTTAGGCCGACACGATATTTTGCCATTTTAAAAGTTCTGTGCCGCTATGCGCATTGGCCGCATCACACAATGGTGCGGTCACAAATTGTTCTCGCTGATAGTGACGTATTACAATATAGTCATTATCAAGAAAGTGTTCGCAAATTCGCAGTAACGATTAGACCATGTTTATTTACCAGTCGCGTCTTTCCTTGCTAATAGCAACCGCATATGCGCTTCTTATCTAGAGTCAGTATTTGGCTGCATGTACAGTAAGGGCGATTTATTAGTCTGGATTCTGTTAAGTTGCCTTATATCTGCGTGTGAGAAGTATGTGGATAGTATCACGCATTCCTTTTTGCGAATTGCCGCTGCTTAATGCTATTATAGAATAGAAGTAAGTGATAATGTAAATGGTAATAAGAGATATTTAAAACAGCTGAGGACATGCACGAGTCCATAGCAAACGATAATGTGGTAAAAGGTACGGCTGCTCGCCGTTATAGTTTAGAGACAAATTTGCTAACAGGAGCCTTAGGAATAATTATTAAACGAGTAATAGATTCGTGTCCCGTTTTGCCATCTACACTAGTTTATATAAACGAGCGCGCGGATGTCTCCGCCTTCCCTAAACCGCATACGTTGTCGCCATAGTGCTTTATCAATGCTTTCTCGCCAAGTCGGCAGCATCCAAAGCGATTCGCGGAGTATGTTTATCAGGATAAATGCCGCAACCGTCGTTACTTCTGCGGCGATACCGTCTTCAATGCAGGAGTTTCCGCCACAGCAGCCGCGCCGCCCGGTAACAAGGTACCGGCACGTTATGCGTGACGACCGGCGCACCGGGCTTCATCCTATTAGCCACAGTCAATTCAGCTGTTTGCCGCTTTATGCTAGCCTTTAACCGCCACGCGAACAGCCCGGCCACGTTTCGAACACCTGCCGAGTGCATGAAGAGTCGAAAGATTCAGCGCCGCGCGCGTCCTTAGCTTCCTGTTAAACGCTCGGGCCTTGTTGTCAATTTGCACGCATGAGCGTCTATCGCTTCGCCGGCTGCTGCGTACTGTCGTGGAGGGCAGGCACGGCCCTCGCGGATGGTGCCGCCCCTGTCGCCGACAGAAGTGCAAATCCCCTCCGTAACCCGTATACGGTAGCGCACGCAGCGATCAGCTATAGCTGTGTGTGTGTGTGTGTGTGTGTTGTTGTGTGTGGTGTGTGTGTTGTGTGTGTGTGCGTGTGTGTGTGCGCGCGCGTGTGCGTGTGCGTGCGCGTGTGTGCGTGCATGCGCGCGTTTCATGTGTGTGTGTGTGCGGTGCGTGTCCGTGTGTGGTGGTGTTGCCCCGGCAACGAAGACGTTGACCTTACAGAAAGCGAAACAGTAACGCTATATAGCTGTTCTGCATGTAAGGCGATACGCTTTACGTTGGCCACTGTAATAAGTGCGGTGTGCGCGTGTCCACTGTATGTCTGTACAAGTGCGCCGCGCAGTCCGGCCACCCTGCGCTTTGCGCGCGCTCGTGTTGTGTGTGTGCGTGGTGTGTTGTGTGTGTGTGTGTGTGTGTGTGTGTTGTTGTGTGTGTGTGTGTTGGTGTGTGTGTGTGCGTGCGTGCGTGCGTGCATGTTTGCGTTCGCTGCATGTGCGCGCAAATCCTTTTGCAAGTGGCACAACATAAAAAGGCAATTCTATTAATCAGGCGATCTATTCAATTTTTTCAACAGCTATAAAAAGAATATTTTGTAGATCTTCTATATTCATATAAGTGATATATTCTGCGATCATGCCACCCTAGCCCGACGGCAAATCCTTTCAGAGCGACCCAACAACCCACAATACATTCATTAAAAAAAATCCTATTCAAATGATGTTATAATCATTCGAGGTGGCGTTTTTTACATTCAGTATTGTCTATGCAGCGACTAATGCGCTCTAACCACGTCTCTGGGCAAAAGTTGCTAGTAGCATTACTTATATCCGGTTTATACCTTCTCACACGGCAACGAGAGTTAAACAGTTGACAAAGACGCCTTTTACTTGCCAGCCATTGATCTGAACAAACAAACCGTTTGCCATTCTCGGCGCGTACAATTGCTACTTTGTGGTGACGCGAATTGGATGAGAAAAAACAGCTGTTGCCAAATGTAATCGCTGTGTGAAATCATCGTAATTTTGGGACACTCGTGGGCGGCACACCGGTATACGCGTCTTAAGCCTTGCCTCAGGCATACCGAGCATGCGCCGCAGCCGTCACAGGCGGCCTGTGACGTAACTATGATCGGTTTATCATTTTACGCCACAATCATGTAATTTACCCACGGAGAATCGATCCTACAGACCGTTTGTCTGTTACACTGGAAAACATTATGCAGCGGAGCCAGCAATTGCGCTGCGCATAGATACCCGTAACACTGTGGGGAAAAACCCGCGTTAAGAATCCGAACAAATAGTAGAGGTGAAACAAAGTAACACCTGTATTTAAAACGTGGGAAATCGAAGTCAACGCGTTACCATCAGAGATCTCAGAAGGAGCGGTGGCGAAATGATTTAGTGTATTTACGAGAGCGATGTTCTATCAACGAGCTAATATATTTTGTGTTTCTGGGTGACATTACCCGATGCTATCGGCCAAGCTATATATATACTCATATAGCTTTGAACCACGGAAGCTTACTGTTATACAGGGGTCGAAATTATATTGCAATTATTGCTACCATAAAGCCGAAACTTTACAACCACGCGTTAAAAAAAGATAAAAATGACAATTATTAGGGCACGCCCGACAGCAGTTATTACTAATCAGCTCAAGATTTATAATGTGCAATTTTCTATCTAATAAAATTATCAACCAATTTACTTGATATTATATTATCGCGTCGTCGGTACAGGATAACAGTTTAGCATAATGAACAGTAATTATAATAACTGCTCAGTCTACTCGTTTATTCGACGGACACCGGATTTCCCAATATTCACCCACATTTAAAATTGATTTAGTCTTCGACATAAATGACAGATGCTCGGCCAAATTTTGACGTCGTGTCTGTCGTAACGCGTAGATATCAAACGGCACACCGAGATATATAATAACAGAGCGTTTTGTTGCATCACTTAAAATAGATGCATCACACGTGTCAATATAAATTCGAAGAAAGTACTAAAACCACTAGGTACGCCGGCTTGCTTCAGTGTACAGATTTAGTTGTTACAGATCTCACCAAGAACATATAGCATCAAGAGTCCATAAGTTAAAACAAAGTTTTTCTATTATGCGACTCTTAGATAGTATTTATTGCGGTTTTGCAAATGCCGGTCCGTTATTTCGTGACGCATTTTTGCTAAACTGACTCCTCGCTGGCAAACAGCCAATTAGAGCAGTCCAAAATTCTGGAATGGATATGTTGGTTAGGAAAAAAAAATTCGCCGGCCGGCGCATGTAGCGTACACAACACACACATGCTTTACAACGTTCTTTACGATTCTCTTACACGGGGCTCTCTTGTCGAGACATGTCTGGAATTTGCCTCTGTATACAAAATACGCTCGACAAATACTTATTTACAGACATGTATCCTTGCGCAACCAGAAAGTGTCCGGTTTATAAGGCCGACACGACTGGCGCGCGCGCGTGCGTAAGAGCCCAGGAAATAGAAGAAGACGGGGAAAGTTGACTACCGCCTACAGGATTTGTAAAATCTATGGTGCGCGCGCTCTCGCCTCCCCCGTTTCTTCTTCGGAAGAGCGTAACTCGCGCGTTTATACCGTGCACGCTTCACCCTCGAAAGGAATCCCTCTTTTTAACATTGGCCGGTATTTTACTAAATCAACAAGTCAGATAGATCAGCGAGTGTTTGAGCTGTCTACGGAGACGGCGGTCGCGGGAAAAGGCGTCCGCTTGCGTTTATGTAAACATGGGTTAATTACGCCGTTGCTTCCCGTCCGCAATTAATTGACATTGCGGCAAATTCTTTTTTAGTCAAAGAGCGTATCATTTGACGTCACCCTGGAACGTGTGGCAACGGATCTCGCGGTAGCAGATTTTCGAAGGTCGCAATTCCAGTACAACACCTCTTCCCGCACCAAATCGTAAACGAAACGATGTCACTTCCTAGCGCATCAACATCGTCATGAATATAATTCGACCCCAACGAACACGATGTTAAAACGCGTCCTCTTCTCATTTTGCAGGTGTATGGATACGAGGTGGCGAAGGGACATGAGGGCAGCTGCCTCCCCGGATTTCCGAAGATGATTCGCGACGAGTATCCACCGAGTCCTGGCTCGAAGCCTCTTCCCAATCACCCGGACGCCGTCTACTACTCCTATACGGACACGGCCATGTACATCCTGAAGAACAACGAGTTCTGGATCAACGAGGCATTCCACCCGCTCGACCGACTACGAACGAATAGCGTCAAGGGCCCCTTCCCGATGTCGAAGAAGTGGTACGACATCTGTGACGTCGACAGCGAGCTGTGAAACGTCATCAACATGGCTGACGGCGCTTCGCTGCCCTGGCCAATAATATTAACGTGGACGCTTTCGCGCACATCCGCTTGACGAACAATTGCTCAACGCTTGGTGCGCTCTTCAGTTCGTGCGCGCTAGACTTATATCGACATACGACGACGGCGAAGCGGGACACACACACACACACACACACACACACACACACACACACACACACACACACACAGCATTTTTGCTAAACTGACTCCTCGCTGGCGTGTGTGTGTGTGTGTGTGTATGTATGTGTGTGTGTGTGTGTGTGTGTGTGTGTGTGCGTGCGTGCGTGCGTGCATGTTTGCGTTCGCGAGTGCGCGCAAATCCTTTTGCAAGTGCACAACATAAAAATAGGCAATCATTAATCAGGGATCTATTCAATTTCAACAGCTATAAAAAGAATATTTGTAGATCTTCTATATTCATCTAAGCGTGAATATATTCGCGATCATGCCACCCCTAGCCCGACGCAAATCCTTCAGAGCGACCCACACCCACAATAATTCATTAAAAAAAATCCTATTCAAATATGTATAATCATTCGAGGGGCGTTTTTTACATCAGTATTGTCTGCAGCGACTAATGCGTCTAACCACTCGTCTGGAAAAGTTGCTAGTAGATTATATATCGTTATACCTCTCACGGCAACGAGAGTAAACAAGTGACAAAGACGCCTTTTACTTGCAGCTTGATCTGAACAAACAACCGTTTGCATTCTTCGGCGCGTACAATGCTACTTTGTTTGACGGAATGAGAGAAAAAAACACGTTGCAAATGTAATCGTGTGTGAAATCATCGTAATTTTGGGACACTCGTGGGCGGCACACCGGTATACGCGTCTAGCCTGCCTCAGGATACCGAGATGGCGGCACCGTCACAGGCGGTGTGACGTAACTATTATCGGTATCATTTACGCCAATCATGTAATTTACCCACGGAGAATCGATCCTACAGACCGTTGTCTGGTTACACTGGAAACATTATGCAGCGAGCAGCAAGCGCATGCGCATAGATACCCGTAACACGTGGGGAAAATAACCCGCGTAGAATCCGAACAAATAGGTAGGGTGAACAAATAAACCTGTATTAAAACCGTGGGAAATCGAAGTCAACGCGTTACCATCAGAGATCTCAGAAGGATGCGGGGGAAATGCATTTTGTGTATTTACGAGAGCGATGTCTATCAACGAGTAATATATTTTGTGTTTCTGGGTGACATATACCCGATGCTATCGGCAAGTATATATATACTCATATAGCTTGAACCACGAGCTTACTGTTATACAGGGGTCGAAATTATATTGCAATTATTGCTACATAAAGCCGAAACTTTACAACCACGGTTAAAAGAAGTAAAAATGACAATTATTAGGCACGCCCGACAGAGTTATTACTAATCAGCTCAAGATTTATAATGTCAATTTTCTATCTAATAAATATCAATCCAATTTCGTGATTATTATATTATTGGTCGTGGTACAGTGATAACAGTTTAGCAAAGAACAGTAATTATAATAACTGTCAGTCTACTCGTTATCGGACGGACACCGGATTTCCCAATATTCACCACATTTAAAATTGATTTAGTCTCGACATAAATGACAGAGCTCGCAAATTTTGACGTCGGTCTGTCGTAACGGTAAGATATCAAACGGGCACACCGAGATATATAATAACAGAGGTTTTGTGCATCACTTAAAATAGTGCATCACACGTGTCAATATAAATTTCGAAGAATACTAAACACTATACGCCCGGCTTGCTTCAGTGTACAGATTTAGTTGTACAGATCTCACCAAGGAACTATAGCATCAAGAGTCCATAATAAAACAAATGTTTTTTCTATTATGGACTCTTGATAGTATTTATTGCGTTTGCAAATGCCGGTCCGTTATTTCGTGACGCATTTTGCTAACTGACCCTCGCTGCTGTTGTAGGCCATCAGTACGGCCCGCGGCCGGCGCATGTAGCGTACACAACACACACATGCTTTACAACGTTCTTTACGATTCTCTTACGGGGTTCTCTTGGTCGGATGTTGGATTTGCTCTGTATACCAATTACGCTCGCAATATTATTCTACGAATGTATCTGCGCACACCAGATAAGTGCTCGGTTTTTAAGGCCCGACCGATTGGCGCGCGGCGTGCGTAAGCAAACCCCAGGTAGTGAGAGCGGGAAAGTGATACGACTACAGAGATTTGTTAAGAATCTATGGTGCTGCCGACCGTCTCGCTCCGCTTTTTCTTCGGAAGAGGCGTAACTCTGCGCGTTTATACGTGCCACGTTCCCCTCGAAGGATCCCTTTTTTTAACTTGGCCGCGTATTTACTATCCCAGGCCGATAGATGCGCGGTGTTTGAGCCTGTTACCGGGACGGCGGTGAGGGAAAGGCGTTCGCTTTGTGGTTGAGTAAAGATGGGTTAATTACGTCGTTGCTTCCGGTCTTCGTCATAATTAATTGACGATGCGGGCAATTTTTTTTAGTCAAAGAGCGTATTATTTGAGCGTCCGTGGCGTGTGGCAACGGTCTCCGTATGTCAGAGTTCGGTTAGTCCGTGCTTCCAGCTACATAACATCTTTCTCGGCACAATCGTAATGCGACCGATATGTCATTCATAGCGCATCACATCGTCATTGATAGTATTTCCCTTCGGTTGTCTATGGTTCGACCCATCGAACACTTGATTTGTTAGAGAACGCTTCCTCTTTTTTGTTGAGGTGTTTTTATGGTGATGACGATGGTGGCGAAATGGGCAGCATGGCGTGCGTGCCTCCCGGAATTTTTCGAGATTGATTTTTTTTCCGGCTGCGAGTATCCACCCTGAGTCTCTGAGTTCGATGCGCTCTTCTCCGTCACCGGACGCGGGTCTGAGTATATCCTATCCGGGCCAGGCATTGTACTATCCTGTAAGTTCCAACGAGTTCTTGGTCATACGAGGTCCTGTTCGGCACCTGCTCTGACCGATAGATACGAATATAGTCGTTCAGAGGGCCCTTCCGATGTGGAAGAAGCGGTTACTGGACATCTGTTGAGTCGACATGCGAGCTGTGATGAGTCATTCACATGGCTGCTCGGCGGTTTCGTGCGTGGGCCGATATATTAACGTGGCGTCTTCTTCGCGCAGCATCGCTGTACGAACAATGTGCTAATCGCTTGGTGCTGCTGCTTCAGTTCGTCTGCGCCGGCTGTATATCGAATTAGCTGTAGCGGCGATACGGGACACACCCAACACCCTCCACCCACCCTGACCACCCACACTACATACCCACATCACACCACACACACATATATCTTTATCATCTAGTTTTTACATAGTATCATAATGTAGATGTATCATACATATTATTCTATCTCATATGTTCTAATTCTATCTTAGTGACGATACAGTTACTCTATAATTAAGAGCTGAGCTTTCATCATATCTTTATATTCGCATTACTATCATATGATAATACATATTACCTACAGTGAAGTATATATTTCCCTCCATCGTACATATATCTCATACCTACACTCATACTACATACATACTTCTACGTATCACTAATACTACTACTCTCTCTCATAATAACTACTATTATTTACTACTTACTACCAATTATTTTCATCTACTATACATATATACCTATCATAATATACTACTTTCATCTCATCATATCATATCAGTATACATACTACATATCTATACATACATCATAAATACTAATCATATTACTACTCATACTACATACATACATAGTACCGATACATTTACTATACATCTATACATACACGGCTGCACGCGCACGCCACGACACACACCCCCCCGATGACAACAACACACACCACACTCCCGCCTCACACTCATCATACTGATCCATCTATAATAACTGCTTGGATACATAAGTGCGATAGCCGCTGACGCAGCCGCTCGGTCTGCTCGGCTCGCTACGCCGCATGCCACCCGCGCCACACACTCACACACACACACGTACACATACACAGAAAGAGAGAGAGAGAGAGAGGAATCGGGGGAGCATGCTTTGTCTGTTACTGCTCTGCATTCGCGCGACCGGAGACAAAGCCGACAGCGATCACGTGCAGCGCGCGTGGCGGTGAGATTGCTACCACACACTTGGCCTCAGACCGAATTACTCGCGCGGGAAATCAAACACAGCGAAGCTCAGTGCCAAGTAACGTGCCTGCGTCATGTTCACGTCTGCGTAGCATCCGGCCGTAGAAACCGGAAGCGGAATAGAAGCCACTGTATACAATAACTTGCCGATACGCGCATGCAAGTTTCCTGTCGTGACACCGCGCCACCTGGTGCTGCACTGTGGAAATATAGGCAGCAGGGTGACTAAAACGTCATTCAACTAGTAGATGATGGGGCGTTGATGACTTTGGGCTGCCATTCGAAATGGTAATAATTATACGTAAATGTCGACATTTTGTGTGTTATGTCTTTGCAATCTCTTTGGCTGTGATGAAAAGGGTATAAATAGATACGTTAAACATGACACTATTTACAAAGTTGCGACACAATTCCCTGTGGTAACGTAAGGTGACTTTAATGTTTCACTACACTAATCGAATTATTGTTAGGGACGACTATTTACCCCTCTATATCTAAAGCAGTGTTGCTTGTGTCGGGTCGTTGTGCCAAATCTGCTGTGCATTATGTTTTACATGCAGGTACACTGGCTTCGGGATTCAATAGTTCCAGCATCACCTCTGTCGTACTGCGTTATGCCTTGCAGGAAACGTGGGAATGTTTTGCTTCTGACGCCTCTACTGTCGCGAACACGTGTAACGAGTTGGCGCGTGATACTGTTGGGGGAGGGGGTTACATGTAAAACAACTAGTCTTTTGATGTTATGGTATGTGAGTTTCTGTGTCACGAAAATGCTGGACATCTCTGTTCGTTTCTGTTTGCATTTGAAGTGCAGATTGTCGTAGCTGTCTTCCGTGGCGCTATGCTTTTGTTATATACTATAATGTGTTTCGTATACACATTAACGCCACGCACGGACAACGCGTGCGAGGCATCGCACTACTTCGTTTACTAGTAGACTTGCTTCATTGTACGATCTTAATGCTATAGATCTCGTCATTTGAAATAGTCTAGTTTCTATGTGTAACGTTTACCGATAAATACTCAACTTGCGACCATGGTAACTGCTTGCTTCTGTGGAGTAGTGGGAT